ATTCCCTAAACCCTAAACTTTAAACCCTAAACTCTAAACCCTAAACCCTAAACCCTAAACCCTAAACCCTAAACCCTAGACTCTAAACCCTAAACTCTAAACCCTAAACCCTAAACCCTAAACCCTGCGCAAGGAGCAATTGCAGGTCTTGTCCTCGGAAAAGACCAACCAGTCGCTCATGGTGGAGCAAGTTCTGCCCTGGTTTCGACGGCCACTCAAGAGGCTTTGAACATATACACAGATCGATTATGTTGGGATCTTACGACGCGCTCGACTCTGGGAAGCGACTCGACGAAGACGCCGAGAGGCTCCCAGCCTACATGAACAGATGCCGGATTTTTTACGGTCCATTCTCATGACTTGTTTATAGAAGTTCTTCAAGAGGTATGTTCGCGGTGGAGGCATGGAATTCGAGGTTCGAGCTTGCTATTATAGGATTCGAAGAGTCAAGAATAGTATTCCTTAGGGTTCCTGGTTNNAAACCCTATTCTAATTGTTAACGCCCTTAAAGTGTAGAATCCTACTAGATCCGTTACAGTAACCCGAGAAGGAACCCTATTCTAGAATTAAGGCCTTGATGTCACAGTGTGAAGATTGCCAGTTTGGAGGTTCCAATATCGAGCTACCAGGGTTTAGGGGTTTGGGGTTTAGGGTTTAAGGTTTAGGGTTTGGGGTTAATGTAGGGGCTTACATAATTACCAAGACTATTTTGGAGGTTTGGGGGGTTCCTTATTATAGATAGGGTGACAATTGGGCCCCAAGACCCTATTCTAATTATCAAGGCCCCTATATTACCAGGTTCTAGAAGGGCGTGGGGTTTAGGTGTCAGAGGGTTGGGGTTTAGGGTTAAGGGCTGGTGTGGGGTTTGGGTTCTAGCGCGGTTACGGGTTTGGTGGGTGGGTGGGGGATGGTTGCAGGGCGTAGGGGAGGCTTTAGGGCTAAAGGGTGGTACAGTTCTGGTGTTGTAATTGCAGGCTTGATCGTAGGTTTCACTTTGGACAAACAGGGTGTTGCATTTGAGTTGTTCTCGGGTTGAGGAGGGTCGGCATCCGGAACGTTCTTGAAACTATCCCAACACCTAAACCCTAAGCCCCAAACCCGAAGCCCTGGCCGTCCTAACCCTAAACCCTAAACCCTCATTAAGGAATGCTCAGCTTCGCTTTGGATCTTCTGGGTGCCCCAAGCTACCCAAACCTGACAACCCTAAGCCCGTTAAGCCGGAAAGTCTAATCCCTAGCCCTCAACTTAAACCCTTAGGCGAACTTGGAAATAGTTAAACTCTTTGTTACTATATTCCCTGAGAGACAGCTTAAATTACAATGTTTGCAGCGGTGCCAAGTTCAGTATAGAATGGTAAAGCTGCGGCCACGTCGAAAGCACCTCAACCCTAAACCCCTAAACCCTAAACACCTAAACCCCTAAACCCTAAACCCTAAACCCCTAAACCCTAAACCCCTAAACCCCTAAACCCGGGAGCTTCGGTGCCTCTGAGAAAGCTGCAGGTGAAGCCGCTGGTTGCCCTCACTCGACCGGACCTGGTCTTCGTCGAGGAAGAGCCGAGCTCCTGGATGATGCTAGTTAAACAGTATGAGTAGCATGACCGGTATGCCAGATATACCTTGCCAGAACAGACATACCGTATGAGTAGCATGACTATTCCCGTACATACTACCATCATGAAGTTAGTTCCCGAAACTGCTCTGAATTATTGCGTGTAGGCGTAGCTGTTGTCTTGTTACGAGTAGCGATATAAGTCGGCATGATAAAACACTCCCCGCTTGCAAACCTAAGCTTGAACCTCGCATCCCCACAAGCTGCAGACCCAAGCCGCGCTAAGCTTGTCCTGGGCCCCAAAAGCAGGTAGAATAGTAGCCTTCTATAAGTGTTGGGCCATTGTTTTACTTACTCTTGGTGGTTCAGGTACTCACACAGCCTGAGCCCCAAATCCCAACCTGGACCGAACATGCAAACCCTAAGCCTCAAGTTTCACGCACCGGTCCTAGAAGAAACCTAAAGCTCAACAAGCCCTCAACCCTGTGACAAAAACAAAAAACATTTGTATATATATATATATACATAATATAGTTTATGTAGGTGTGTGTATATGTATGTATGTGTGTATGTATGTATGTATGTATGTATGTATGTATGTATGTATGTATGTATGTATGTATGTATGCACGCACGCACGCACGCACGC